ATCTGGGTTCTGGGATAGAAAAGCAATATATCCGTCATACCAAAGCATGGAGAATATGCCCCAGGAGATCTCCAGGAGAGCATATGACAGATCTTTTAGCCTCTTTAATTCCTTTAGTCACATCTTGAAGGTCTCTGGTACATATGGAAATCTGCAGAAAAGTGGAGAAAAGAAAGATAAGGTTATTAGAAAAAGAGTACCTAAAAAATCTAATAGTAATGGTCAGCACATGAACAGTACAGAGAATATTAATAGTAATATTAAAAATGAAAATGTAGCCGCAAAAGAGCATTGCCTGTTTGATTGTATTTCTACTTCACATGTACCAGAGATCCTAGACAAAGGCTTACAGGGTGAAATTTCCTTAAATAGAAACTTTCTGGACAATTATGCAGTTACATGTGACCGTTCAAGGCAGAATGAAATAACAGTAAAGATTGAAGACAGCGAGAGTGACAGCCTACAAAAAGTTTCAAGTTCACATAGGAAAATGTCAGAGACATCTCTCTATCGTGATGTAGACAACAGACAAAATACAAAAGATAGGGAGTTTTACAGTATTTGTGTTGTAGATGCTGAAGATCTGAAAGGGGATGAAGAGGTTCCAGCTACTGTGCATGAAGAGATTGCAGCAGACATAGATAACTCAGCTGTTACTGATGAAGGAATGTGCAGCATGGCAAGACCTCTAGACACAGGGAAGGAATTTCCAATGCAGCAATCGGCACAAGTGGAAGCCGAGTTTAATTCACAGAAAGAACTGTTAAAGAGAGAGGATAGGTCAAACATGCAGAAAAAGGAAACAAAGGCATGTAGTAGCATACACATCCCATCTTGTGAGAGGTTACTGGCTAACAGGTGTCAGGTGCATAGGTTAAATACTGATAATACAGTAACAAATGGCTTAAAAGCAAAAGTATATGGTGAAGTGGTCCCTGAGAATCGACAAGAGGAGATACATGTCATAGATAATGCTGTCAGTTGTAATGAATCGCTCCATAGAGCTTGTGATACAGTAAAATTTGTGGATGTTACTGAAGAGGACCAATACAGCCCTAATTCAGAAAACCAGAAACACAGTGATTGTGTTTCCAGTTTATTGTTAAACACTGGAGTATGTAATTCAGGAAAAATTGAGGGAAGTCATGATTCTAAGATTGTACCATTAGGTTTAAGGAGTCATCCCTTAAGTGTTTTAAGGGAAATAAATACTAAACAGGTGGCAGAGAACATGAGGGGCAACTTCAGATTATCAGAGTTACATGAAGTGGACAATGATTCTTTTTTGAGTCCGCATGCAGAAAAACTTGCTGAAGAAGGCTACTTCCTGAAGCTGGGAAGTGAAGTAAACTCAAGCGTGGAAAAGAAAACATTTCAAAGAACATTTGGTGACAGCCAAACATTTGCACCTCACTCTAGTGAACAACACAGCGTTTTGGAGGAATGCTTGAAAGATAAATGCACAGGTACAGTTTTGCATAGCTGTGAAGCTTTGAAGACTGAAAACTTGGAAGAAAGTTCTGATTTTCAAACTCAAAACTGCACTGAAAACAAGACATCAAATGAAGTTGCAAACCATAATGGCATGGAGGAAGGTGTCTGTGTGAGTATCATTGAGCTAAAGGGTGACATGCTTGAGGAAGCTGATAGCTTGAGCAGAACTCGATCATGGGTAAGTGATGGCACTCTGACATCTCATGAACTACAGAACGCAAACACAAATGAAATGTTCCTAAAGGAAAGCAGCCTAGAACCTCAGATACCACAAGAGTCATCAGGGAATGAAGGTGAAGTATGCAAATATTCAAATTTAGATAACAAAAACAGTGTCTCTTCTGTGTCTGTGGAACATGAAGATATGAACAAAATGGACACGAACTATAGACGAGAGCATCAGGATGTATTTTCCTTCCATGTGGTGGAAAATCAATGGGATGTGGGGACTGTCTCAGCCAAAAGAGCTGGGGATGTAGTGGAATCTGTAAGCCAGACAAACTTTGCAGTTCATGTAAACAAGACATTTGATAACAAGGCAGAAAATGCAAAAGAGAATTTGGATGCTAACATTGTTGATCATGATAAAAACATCTTAAATAGCAATAAAGGCTTGACTTACAATCAGAATACTTACTCTGACTCCACTGTACCTGTAGTTTTGGCCAGTTGTGTGTACAAGAGTGTAAAATTGATAGATGACACTAAAAATCTGGGAGATGCCAGTAATCTCTTACATAAAGTCCATAATTGTTTACCTTCATTGTGTCAGAATTCATATTCTCAAATGTGTGATAAGCCAGTGGAAGAGCCTGAGTGGTGTCACTGTGCAAGTCCAGAGCCAGAGGTCAGCAACACACAAGTTTCTGTTGGGCATTTTACTGAAGTAGCGTTAGAAAAAAGTGTGTGTGACGTAGATGAATGTAACCTTCAGGATGGTGAAGTAAAGCAGTGTGTCAGTATTCACTCAAAGGAGGAGAGCCTCACTGGGTTTACTATGTCAACTGGCAATCTAGAAGCTTTTACCACGGGCGATTTAAAGCAGTTGGAGGCCAAGACTACTGAACTGAAAAACACCAGTTACGTATTAAACACTGAAATTAATGACTTGACCACAAGTTGGGAACAAATGCAGTCAGATCACAAGGTTTTCTCAAACAAAGCGCTTGGAGTTTTTGTTGACCCGGAGCAGATAGACAAATACGCTGCTACTCCTTCCTATGAAATACACAGTGCCTCTCCTGGTGCCGCGGGAGTTCAGCGAGGCAGGGAGCAGTGTGTATTAGATCTGATGGAAGACACATCGAGTGACCGAGAGCACGCCTGTGAACTGGACAGACAAAATCCCCAAGTTGAAATATGGTCACATTTCATCAGTCTCCAGACGGGCAGTACTGATGGGTCAAATCAGCTGTTTTCTGACACTGTTACTGCTGGTAATGGTGAATATCTGATGGGCTTTTTATGGAATAATACAATTTCTAACAGTACTGTGAAGAATGACAGACTATGTATAGTTAGTGACAACTTCCAGAATGAACCTGAAGATTTAACAGGCGCTTCGTATGCGGTGGGAAGATACCCGTATCAGCTGCTAGCACCAGAAAATGGTGGTACTTGGGGATGGCAAGATCAAGATGAATTTGTAAGTATTCTGCAGAAGTGACTTAATGTTAAAGCTTAAAGCTGAAGCTAGGAGTTGGAGTAAGCCAAGTCAAACTGTGTTTACATTAGATAGTTAAATATATCAGATGTTATTTTGTCCTGAAGCTGACCACTCGCTCTTTCCTTTGCAAAACTAAATACTATATAGAATGTAGTAGTTCAAAATGTTGCTGAATATTGATACTTTTTTTCTTTGTGGTTCTGTTTACCTTGTGTGGAAGTTTAAACACTGGGCAAAGTATCTTGATTGCAGATTCTCAATTCCAGATGAACTCAAGATGGATACTTCGGTATGTGGAAGGGGAACAGTCTACAGACTTAATAGTCCTCTTTACCTTCGTATAGGAAGAAATGTTTATGGATTTCCTGAAATCTGAAAGTTCTTGCTTGGTAGCAATTAGGAAACCTTTTGCTCCCTTCCGGAGATGATCTTCTGAAGTGCTGTAGAAAGGAGTGGCTGCAGGAGAAGCGTGGGGAAAGAGCTAGACTGGATCTTGGCTAGCTGGGGTAAGAGAGAAACCAAGCTGAAATGTGGCAGCTGCTGCTTCTCTTCCTTCCCCGGCGAGCAGAGCCAGTGCTTAGTATTGCCCTCCACACTGGCTGCATTGCCACGGCTGCTCTGACCTTGACAAGCAGTTGCGGTGCTGGCAGTGGGTTGTACAAGAGACTAAGTTTACTATCTCCTGGGGGAACTCTTTGCATTAAAAAAGGAAACTGATGGAACTTGCTGTCGTTTCTGAATCCTTACTATTCAAGTACTTATGTCAAACACTTCCACTTTTTATAAGTCTTTTCCCTGTTATTTGGTCAGTGTCTTTAAGTTGAGATTCCTTACATCTTTTTACCTCTGGATGTGTTTTCTATGCACTATGATAATGACTATCTGAGTACATGACTTTCAGAATAATTAAAGCTTCATGGAGTTTTGAAGTGCCTGTCTTAAACTCTGTAATGATTTCTAGCATCCTTAAATTAACGAATTTTAATAATCTTTTTTAGTATGAGCAATACTCTTTCCACCAGAGATATTCTGGGTATGGAATAACTTAATGCGTTTTGCTCAAGCATCAGCAAAACAAGAGAAAACTGTCTCATGTTACTATCAAACAAGTGTTGTAGATGTTGGCACTGCAGAGAACAATCTCTGAAGCACGAATATAACCATTTGTATAATTGTTATATATAATTATGTGTGACCATTAATGTGTCTATTTCCAATCCAGGTTAAAGGAGATGGGTCTAAGATGATTTAACTGGATCTGGTAATTCTTTTTGTACTGCCTGGGGGAAAACTAACCTGACGTTTTGTTAATGCTCTGTTTTTCCTTTTGGTGTAATGGCACAAGTTGTCATGCACATCTCGTTGCTTTCGGTATTCCATAATGCTTCCTTAGAACTGTTACATGTTCATCTAAGGCCAGAAAAAAACTCCTGTGTTTTTGTGTGTTATTTTTTTTATTTCGCAGAAACAGATACAATAACAAGCAAGTCAACATTGAGTTAACACATGTTAGAGAACTGCCTCAAGTCTGGGGCAAGTACAGGTTGAGTCAGTCTGTTGGAGGCGAAGAATGAAATGTTTATTGTAGTTTGCTCTGCTTGTCTAGCCTTTTCTGGTGATTCTCAATCAGGCAAATGAATTCTGTGCTGTGAAACTCAGTCATTTTTGTACCTGAAACAATTGTGGGGTGGCAATTCACTTAATATATTCAGATTTGGAAAAAAACTTGACAACACAATCTTGAGTTGTACGTCTGGTCCTGTTAGTTGAAGCTGTACATGGACACACACAGATGCATGCTGTGCATCCACAAAGTGCATAATCACGTTTCTTTTTGTAGGAGTCGACCAAGGTTTCTGAGTTAAATCCTAATGCAAAGGTGTGGGGAAATCATATGTTACACTTGGAAGCAAGTGGTGCCACTGATGGTAGCGTGAGCAAGACGTGGGAAGAAATACCTGACCAACCTCCAGATTCTTGTAAAGAAGGTATGAGTAAGAGTTTCTATCTGTTACTCAAGCAAAGGTGATACTCAGTGCAGAACTTAGTTTTCATTTCATGTTAAAAAAATAAATGTAAATAAGCAACTTCACTTCAGATTAAGTTTTAACTATGATATTACTGTGTTTAGAAGGAATGCTTTTTGAGTGTGTTTGTGATCTCTGCTGCAGGACTGGATGCCAGTGGTGATGGTGACAAAAAGCATCAGAGTGCAGTGCTGACTGAGCTGCAGGAGCCGTCACCAGCTGTTTCGGTGTCAGACCAGACAGATATGAACCCTTTGGCTCTTGACCATTCTGAGTATGAGTCTATGCATGAAACCACCCAGATAGGTAAGAAAACTGATATTTGCTTGGGCTTCGTTTGAAAACAGAAAACATACTGAGTTGGAACAGTGAGCACCCATTAAAATGTCAAACAACAAAGAAAAAGCCCCAAAAGCTACACTGTTTCTGTTGTTCAGTGTATGCATTCTGTAAGCAGACTGTCTTTTCTGTGCTTGAGCTTAGACATGCTTGGAAACCAGTCTCCTCCTGTTTGAGTATAGGCCTTATGAGATACTGCACAGAATCCATCAGGAGTTCTGGATATAATGGAGTATTGGTTTTTGAAGTGTTATTCTGAATGCGAGTCCCTAGTGTAGATGTTTATATTTAGAACCCTGCCTAAGCTGCGTGTTTCTAGTTGGGTCAGGTACTGAAGTGAAATTCACGTACCATTTGTGTCTCAAGTAGTAATGTTAATGTGTTGAAAGATTGGTCTTGTACTTAAAATGCTAAAATAAGCAACAATTTAGTGTAATTTCTTTGCATTCTTTTTTTAATGAACTTTCATGATATTTTTCAGTGCAACTGTTAGTAGCTGTAGTCTATACCAGATGGCATGTGTTAGAAACTTCTGGAAACTGGCATAGAGTTTCAGCTGTGCTTTTATTTCACAGAAAGGGACAGGAGGTCTGCCAGATGCATGTAGGATTACTACATGAAGTGAGATGAGGCATGGGAAAAAGGAATTTGTGCTGGGTGTTGCTGGAGATTCATGAGAGGTCTGCTCCCTGTTCATGGTGCTTAGCTAATTTTGTAACGTGTTTAAAATGACCACTATAGCATCCATAATAGTTGGGAATAACGACAACTGAATTCACACAGTTGTGGCATCATCCTTGCTTGTCTTGAAAACTGAAAGTTCTCTGACTCTTCTACTTAAGGGTACTACTGGGGAATAACAAATAATAACTAACAGGTAAATAGAAAATGGTGTTAATAGTGTCTAGCACTCTGGAAGAGGACAGCATTCCTCAGTGCGTTAGAACTTGTTAGCATGTCCTTTATGTGCCCAAAATAGTTAATGTTTAATAGGAGTCAAATAGTGGTGTGAAGCAGCTGGACAGCAGGTCAGACCTATTCCTCTTGATGAATAGTGACGTAGGGGGTCCCAACTCTGAAATATTGTTTTTATTTTTTTAATTATTGTTTTTAAAAATGCATGTAATTTTGGTCTTTGCTAGGTTTTGGGCAAGGGACAAAGAGGAGGTGGAGAAGGGAAATTGTGGTTAGTACATGATATGTGTGTTTCTCAGGTGTGGCCTTATCTACATCAGAATAGAATACATGAAGGACAAAACAGTGGGAGGAAATTAGAAGTTGCTTTAGGAAGAAGAAAGGTTAAGGAGAGCTGAAGAAAAGGATGAAAGTTACTGAAGAAGGGAAGGGTATAGAGGGTAATAGTTGGTGTGAAATACTCTTAAAAAAACTAATTTACTTTTATGTAACATGTTACTAAATGTTTTGTAAATCTATAAAAGCTACACTCAACTTCTGATCTTTAAATAGTTCTCCCACTGACACAATTGGTTTACCCTCAACTGGCTCTAGAATATTGGGTGTAAACTAAAATAAATGTGAAACTAGTGTTTTCACGTGATGATTTTTGAAACTTCCAGGTATAAGACAAAAAATAATTTCTTGTTCTTAACCAAGAGATTGTTAATTGATCATACATGTGTTATTCAATATCTGATGATATTTCATGATTACTTTTCTGAAACTGTGTTTGCTGAATTAGCGTGTTGGAAATTTAGAGGGAGGCCAGAAGTACAAAGTGCCTCCATTACACTGCTTGCTAGCTGTAGTCAGCTGCATTAGTCAGGGTTTAGTCAACTTGAAATTGGTTAGTTTCCCAAGACTGGAAGACAGATATATGAGCTCACTCAGTTCAGTATTTACTTTGAGATGTGTTTGTAGCTGCTATTCTAAAACTGCTTCCAGTTTTTGTGTATTTGGAGAATTTGTATTGTGAAGTCAGATATGGTTTTTCTTTTGTCTTAAAAACTTTTCCTGTGCGATATTGGTGGGTGGAGAACAAATATACAGTGAACACTTACTGAATTTGAAAATTTGTTACCAGTTACATAGCCAGTAACAGGTATGATGGCTTGAATAAAATATCTGTTGTGTAATTTAGCAGAACTAAATTTTGAACTTCAAAATTTAAACTAGAATTTTAATTATTAGGTGGAAATGAACAGTTGCAGCCAGAAGGTCAGGAAGACTTAAGAGAATTACTGAAAAAAACACTGGAATTCTGCTTATCTAGGTATGTATATATATAACTGAAGGGTAACTAACAAGATCCAGTATCTAACTTGAGACATGTGTTGATATACTTCACGCTTGTCACTTAAAAACGAGTGGAGAGGATGAGAATCTGGGGAAAGTAACACACAAATTCCAGAGTATAGTATTGATGTACCTCTTAAAGCTTACATGAAACTTCTGGGCCGAAAACACGACCTAGTGAATATATTGTTTTGAAGTGAGAGTAGTTACAAGCAATTACAGATACGGTGAATTTTTATGACTTTTAGTGGTTTTTTGCAAATTAAAACTAGGTAGCTTAAGCCATTTGGTAAGCTTTGTTTAAGCTAATAATTTTTAAATTTGTATTGATACAAAGTAGAATTTTTGTGTGTGCATCCATAGATCCCTTGATAGTTTAAGTTAAGGATCAATTTTAAAAAGAATTAAGGGCTCTGAATCACACACATTCCAGTACAGAGCAATGCAAGATCATCAATGCAGTTTACTGGTACTTAATTGTTCTTGATTCTTGTGTCTAGATAAAAACATCCTAAACGCATGTTGTCTTAGTGTAGAACAATCCTTCATCTACATACTGCATAACCAGTTACAGTCAGTGGTCATTTGAAGTAATAAACTCCTAACAATATTACATGTTTGTTGGGGCAATATGCTGGCTGAACAGGAATATGCCAATACTGTTACACGAAGAAAGACAATTTCATGGTTTCTAGGAAGTGAAATATAATAGGTGAATGAACTGGGGAGTTGGTGAAAATGCTTACAACAAAATTTAGGGTAGGAATCTGCTTTCTACTGTTCTGTGTCGAGTGTATTGGCAAAAATTACGTCTGTGACTTTTCCCCCCCAATTTTTTTTCCATCAGAGAAAATCTTGCCAGTGACATGTACCTTATATCGCAGATGGACAGTGATCAGTATGTGCCAATAATGACAGTAGCAAACCTTGATCATGTCAAGAAACTCAGTACTGATATGGATTTGATTGTTGAAGTGCTGAGATGTAAGTAAAAATCCCTCAATTCTAGAAAGCATTTTGGTTACTGCTGTTGGACTATTAATCTGGATTTTCAATCTCCCTTCTTTTTTTTGTTGTGCATCACAATAAAATGCCATCCTTTTTCTGTGAACTGTTAAATAGAGCAAGCAGCTTCCAGTTTAGACCATTACAATTATAGGGTTGCAGTTTTGTCAAAGCTACTTCACATTTGAGATATAGAGTAATGATCTGTGTAAATGAGAATCATGTGAGTTTGAATTCTCACAAAAGGCTACTAGACATTACTACTAAGGTAAGAATTAAAGAACAACATGACTTCACGTGTGTCTTACAAGAAAAAGTTAGTGAATTGGGATTTCTTAGGCTGGAAGAGTAGGAAGAGTGCGGAGGTTTTAAGGAATATGTCTACTCAGTTTCGTACGTCTGAAAGTATCCTTAGTTGTCTTCTGTTTGTTTCTTAATGTTCAAAAATATTTGAAGTTTAACATAATCTTTGCATTGTAAAGGGTGTCCCTAACATCTTTTGGTGTGAAAAGCTATTATGGTTGCTGACAGTTAAAATTCATTTTTATCTTTTCTCTCTTAGCGTTGCCTTTAGTCCAAGTGGATGAGAAGGGAGAAAAAGTTAGGCCAAATCAGAATCGCTGTATTGTGATTTTACGTGAAGTACCTGAATCTACCCCCATTGAAGTAAGTGTTTAATTGTTTAGTAAACAATGCTTTTCCCTTTCGAAGTTAGGTTTCTTCCAGATTTCAAGAAGCATATTCCATTTCTTACTACATTGTTAATTATTTTGTAACAATGTTTCTAAACCTTAGTGTATTGTGTGTGTTTGGATAATAAATATATTTGTTAGAAGCATGATGCTCATAGGAAGACTGTGGTGAAACCTGTATAGAATCATAGAATCATTAAGGTTGGAAAAGACCTCTAACATCATCAAGTCCAACTGTCAACCCAACACCACCATGCCTGCTAAACCATGTCCTAAAGTCCCATATCTACCTGTTTTTTGAACACCTCCAGGGACGGTGACTCCACCACCTCCCTGGGCAGCGTGGTCAAATGCCCAGCCACTCTTTCAGTAAAGATATTTTTCCTAATATCCAATTTAGACCTCCCCTGATGCAACTTGAGACCATTCCCTCTTGTCCTATTGCTAGTTACCTGGGAGAGGAGACCAACGCCTGCCTCACTACAACCTCCTTTCAGGTAGCTGTAGAGAGTAATAAGGTCTCCCCTCAGCCTCCTCTTCTCCAGACTGAACAGCCCCAGTTTCGTCAGCCCTGTAACTCTACAGAGGGCTGAAAAACTGACATTGCAGTGTTTGGTAGAGATACCATAATTTTCTTGGACTCTGGCTTATCCATATGCCCTTAGAGCTCAGCTCCTTGGATAATCATAGAATCATAGGTTGGAAAATACCTCTAAGATCGAGTCCAACCATCCACCCAACACCACTATTCCTACTAAACCGTATCCTGAAGTGCCACATTTACACCTTTTTTAAACGCCTAAGGAATGGTGATTCAGCCACCTCCCTGGGCAGCCTATTTCAATGCCTGAACATAAATAAATAACAAAGATGAGGGAAGGTAAGTCTTAGAGTGGAAAGCTTTGCATATGTTTCCATAGTGCTGAGGGTAGAGGTGTCAGCAAGTTGCTAAGGATCTCTGCTGGCTTGTGGAACGAGTGCGAGAGTGGAGAACTTGATTCTTCGAAAGATATTCAGTGCAAGTCTGTAGCTGGGACTATGACTAATGGAAAGACCAGGAAAAAATGATTGGACTGTAGATTAAACTATCTTGAATTTTCAAAAAAGGAGGAGAAGGCGCAGATTCTTGATGATGGGGAGATATATTAATTTCCCTTCTAATTTTACAAGGAAGAATAAAGACTCTGAAAGAGGTGCTGCTCTTGATAATCTTCATACAAAATAAAAAGTACTGCAGATTAAAAACTTACAGTACGGAAGTAAGTGTCCTTAATAAACAGGAGCATGAAATAAGATGTTAAAAGGAATTGGGGAGAAGTTAGATATGCTATGTACATGGCTTTAAAATATCAAATGCTTTTAGCTTTCTAAATTAAATATAACCTTTCAAAGACTGCCTAGCTCTTAATCTTACAGGGGGTTTTTTTGTGGTCATCAATTTGTCAGGTTGGCTGTGTTAGCACTGGAGCTCTTGAGTGCTTAACAACAACAAAGTTCTGAGGAGTCTGTATTTTCAAAAGAGGTGGTTTGAAGTGAAGCATTTTATACATTATGTGTTTAAATTTGCCAAACTGGAAAATCTAGACTTAACCCAGCAAATTTAGCAGGACGCGTTTTCTGGTGTAGCACGGTCAGGCTTTGTTTAAGCAGCAAAGTTCCAAAATGCTGTAAGGCCTCCCAGGCTGCATTGGTGTTTGCTGCTCGCCTGAACTCTGTGACAAAGACAATAATATGCAAATGGCTTAATACAAATGTGAAGTCCAAGGTGTGTGTGTTCTGTAGAAACTAGCTGATTATTTTTGAGGTAGCATAAACTCTTGTTTCAAATATATTAATCTGTAGACACTTGAGTTACACTGTATCTCCAGGTTTCTGCTGAAAGGGTGGGATTCTCCTGTCCCATGCAATATGCACAGGTTTTCATGTGGCTCCATGGTTTTGGGGACAGAGGAGAAATAAACATTTCTCTGTACTTGGTGCCAAATTTAAGTGTCTTTCTGTGGCCTAAATAGCTTATCTCCCCTGATGTGAAGGGAGCGGGCAACTTCTTGCAGCATGGCCTTAGACAATGCTTGTTTGAATTCTGTCTAGCTGGCAGGGAGATTGGAGAGAGCTAACACTGCTGCAGGTGTTCTGAAGTTCTCAGTTCTGTTTTGTAAGCCAGAAAGGGCTTTTTATCTTTCTTACCGGGAGTTCACGTTCTGTACTTTAAATTGATGTTTGCTTCTGTCCATCTTTTTTTTGTGTTCTCCCACCCTTTTCTCTCCCTTCTTACCAAAACCGCTTTCCTTAGGAGGTTGAAGCACTTTTCAAAGGAGATAATTTGCCTAAGTTTATTAACTGTGAGTTTGCCTATAATGACAATTGGTTCATCACATTTGAATCGGAAGCCGATGCACAGCAGGTAACAGTATATTTTTTTTGAAGCATTTTAGAATGTAGTAGCAAACAAGGGTGGGATGAGGGTGGATTGATGGATCATGAACAGTTGCAAATGTGTTACAACTTAAAAGAAAAATACCTAAACCTCTAAAACCAGTAATGCTTCCCCTTTGCTAATATTCAGTTATCAGTACTATGAAATGTAACCCTGTACAAGTTTTATCTTGTTCGCATATCCTGGCTTCCTGGCCAAAGCTATGATTTTTTTGTATGAAGAACATTGGATGACACTTCAGCATGCTTCAGTTGTAAGAATTAAAATCTTGTTTTAATGCTACTGAAGCACTTCTGCAATGATAACTTAAATCTTGCTGAATGCAGAGGATTTTCTATAGTCTAGCGTTAGCAGACACTTCAGATATTATAGTTAGGCTTACCCTGTCAGAACTTCAGTTTCCTTTGTTTAATTTGTATTTGACAAGTTTTATAATTACTTTTTTAAAGGCTTACAGATACCTTAGAGAAGAGGTGAAAACTTTCCAAGGAAAACCGATTAAGGTAAATAGAACTTCATGGGTTTTTGGGGATGTGTGTGTGTGTTCTGTTTTTTGTGGGGCTCCTTGAAGGAGAAAGCAGTGACTGACAAGTGTCTAGTAAAGGTTTGAGAGCTGCTAGGTTGAACTATCCTGATTTCATTCGAAAGGCTGCTGTAATAAGTAATCCAATCTCCTTTGCAGGCAAGGATAAAAGCGAAGGCAATAGCTATAAACACATTTTTGCCAAAGAATGGATATAGACCTCTGGATATGAACCTCTACACGCAGCAGCGTTACACAACATCGTTTTACTTACCTCCAATATACAGTCCCCATCAGCAGTTTCCATTGTACAGCTTAATTGGCCCACAGACCTGGTCAGCCACACACAGCTACCTTGACCCTTCATTGGTAAGTCTCTTGATTATGAAACAGTTGCATTCTTTTCAAAATTGTTACTGTTTTCTTATGAAGTCTTGAGGTGTAGGAAGCATATGTATCCTGAAGAGGGGAGTTTAAGATACTGATTCTTCTTGAAAAACAGTTCTTCAAAATTCTTCCCATGGTGTACACGATGAATTACTTGAAAATTGCATCTGGTCTCAGATTGCCATGTGGTTCTCTTCTTAACATTTTAGTTTTTGAGTCAGTTCTTTACCAAAGATTATTAATTAACTATTACAGAAAGAAATCGTTACTAGAGGCTTCTTTTAATAATGGTTAAAAGCCTCTTTAGAAATTAAATCTTCAGAATATGTATGTGAATACCAGAAAAAGCAATTCTGATACATACTGAATAAACTTAGTGAAATCAGATAAATAAGGATAATTTAGTATCTTGATCTTCCAGCAGGAAAATAAGTTCGACGTTTACATGCTGAATTACCCTATTCAGCAAGTTCTTGAAGCCAAATATTTTCTGTGCAAAAGTAAGATGTTTTTTGGCAATACAAAATAAGATTACTTTTGCTAATTAAAAAATCACTTTTAAATTGCTTAGTTTTTTAAAAAAATTCTTAAAGGCCCTATCAGTAGGCCTTAGAGCTAGGGTGGTATCAATAAGTCCTTATATACTCTAATGGGACATCTGCTGTGTCCTGCAATGCTGCTTCCATCTTCACTTCCATTGTGACAGTCCTATCAGAATTACCTTGGCCCTTTTTAGTCTGCCTTTGTCAACCTACAAAAACTAATATAAATATAGTTTTCTGTACTGACTGGAGGACTAATGTTGTCTTGTGTGGAACCTCTTGCTCCCCTCTGTAAATGCCCCTTTACTTGCAGTAAAAGTAACTGGGGTAGCAATGCTCAAAATGAGAGACTTTTCAGAGGTTTTTTTTGGCTGATGATTGAAGTGTCCTTGAGCAAACTTCCTGTGTACTGAACAGCAAGCTAATTAAAAAGCTGGTGTGCTAAACACTTCACACACAGGGAAGGTAGCCAGAGCCCTTGCTCTGGAAGGGGAAGGCTTTTTAAGGGGAGTGAAGAATGCAGAGGAGACAGGGCAGCATAGTGAACCACGTTATTCCAAGAGAAAGCCACCTTGTAAAGCAGCGATGAATGTGATTCTTCCTCTGGATAAACTGACTATTGCATGGTCTTTCTGTGGGAGAAGGAAGCAGTTGGATAGCATTGGTGTAGATGACGTAGATTAACTGGTCACGGGTTCAAGCACAGTGTAGTGTGTATCTGCCTTATGTCATCATGGAACCTTTTGTATTCCTGAAAGCTTACTAGTCCTGTCATTTGGGGGAAGACACTACAAGTTTGCCAGCACTAACACTCTCATACCTTTCATAGTAGAAACAGAAAATTAACTGGCAGAGCTTTGCCTCCCACTGTTCTGCAGCATATTGTCGTTGGTTGGCTGCATTTTTTATATGTTAATGTAGTGTGGTTTTTTCTTGAACCTTTTATAGGAAGAGCTGTATTTAAATAGAAGTTACTAGTGAGCAGAACAGGGACCACGAACAATGATACAGGATTTTTCATGAGGCAGGGTTGTAGTTTGCATGTAGAGACTTGTGCGCAAATACAGTGGAAGCTTCTCTCCTGCTTCGGCATAAACACTAACAGTGCTTTGTCTCATCTCCAGTTTGAGTTGAAGTACACCCAGTAGTGTGGGCATACAGTTTTAGTTCTGAAACTAGAAAATGGCAACATGTGTCTTCAAAATTCTAAAGCTACCTGCTTCTTCATTAAGTACTTAATAGTATCTGAGGAAAGATCTAGTTTGTCCTGTGGGGGGGTGGGGAGGGAGCAAAGGGGGGTGTACTTTTGGTGAGCCAGATGACTTCTGTGGAGAAACCAATTGATGCTTACAAAGAAGGGGTGAATATTGCTAATGTCCCTTTAAGCAATGAATTAAACTTGTTTTTATTTACTATGTTCAATGCCTTTTCATTATTCAGGTTCAGTAGTTGCTTAGTGGCTTTGAATTTTTACAACTTTCAAGTCATAGCTATTAAAGCAGAGAGCACTTCAAAGCAGTATTTTGATGAAACTTTGTTCCTAAAATAGCTTTATTAAACTCCTAATGGCCTGTTTTTGGAGTCTGAGGTAGCATTTGCTGTCGTGTGTGCTATGTTAGGCTAACAGTAGTTTGACAGACAGCTTCAGTGTTAAATTTTACTTTTCATTGATTAGTGATTTGCTCTAACCTTTGCAAGAAAGGTTAGATGAGCTTAAAGATACCTTTGTGGGCAACTGTCTTAATCCCAGCTGTTTCTCGTCATTGAATTAAATATAGAAAGAGTGCTACATAGAGGTCTTTACTGTTAGGCATTTTAGTTCTTTTCAGGGGAGAACACAAGCATTTGCTGTTGCTAATAATAAATTTCCTAAATGAAACTCATTCATAAGTTTTAAAAAAAAAAACAGAAAAAAGTATGCTAATGAGGTTGGAGAAATTACTGTGAACATGCTTCAAATTTTGAGATCTTGCTAATGGGGAACATTGATATGCACCCATTTCAAAAAATTTTTTGCTAATGTTGCTTCTCTGGGCAACAAGACAGTAATTTGCATGTAGAATAAGGTGGTAAGATGTGAAAAGAATCGGAGGTCTACTTAACATCTGTTTATTCTCTAGGCTTTGTTTAAGTGTCACATGGAAGATAAGTAGAATGAGGAACTGAAAAGAATTTTTTTCCTTTTAGGCAGGGATTAATGTATAAGTAATACAAAAAATAATTACAGGCTGTGTAGGTTAGAGAGACTGAAGAGGTATTTCTGTACTCTGAAGCCATGCATAGTGTGGTGTGAAATAGGAGGAGCATTACTTAACTTACAGCTAAGAATTCTGGCTCGATGTTTTCTCAGTACTCTTCACAAGTTATCAGAACTTGAATATGTGTAGTGGCTGTCTTCTCAGAAAACAGCATTTTGTAAGTTGGCCACAAGGCACTGGACAAATGTTCCATTGCTGTTTGAGCCAATCTTTTAAGTACTGCCCTGCACAGTGACATAAAATACAAGGTGGTTTTAAAAAAAAAAAATAGTACTTGGTTTGTTTATAATTATGAGTGTGCGATATACTCTTTAGGTAACACCATTTCCAAATACTGGATTTATCAATGGGTTCACATCTCCAACCTTCAAGCCTGCTGCTTCTCCATTGGCTACACTCAGACAGTATCCTCCAAGGAACAGGCAAGTTCAACCATCTTTTTAATGGTATACATACCATTTTACTATCTGGTGTGTGGGGTTTTAATCTGCTTATTTTAGTAACACCAGCTAGCTTGAAAATACTTGTGGAATTGAACCAAGTGCAAGGTTAAGTGAGGCCAAAGGGCAGATGGTGCTGCTGTTGTTAGTGGGTGTACTGTATGTAAATGGACTGTCTGAAAGCTGAGAACTTGTCTGTTCCATGATTTAGAGTATTCAGATTAAATATTCTGAATGATGACATGTGATCAGCAGGATTATTCATACAGTATTTTCAGTTTCAAGTAGTTTTTAGTAAAGTCACAGTTGAAAATAGATATGTGAATTATCAAGATTAGTTTTCACTGACCTTTTAACATGAATATTTATCATTCTTATGAATGAAATATGCAATAAAGGGCTAAAGATCTTGCTTCTTCTGAATTCGAGTATAGTCTTAGTCCTCAGAATATCTCTCATAGTACGTATGTTGAAATGACTTTTGAATTTGTAGGAATCCTAGCAAGTCTCATATACGACATACAATACCCAGTGCAGAAAGGGGACCTGGGCTTCTAGACAGTCCTACAATATTCAACTTTTCTGCTGATCGTTTAATCAATGGCATCAGGAGTCCACAGACACGACAGCCGGGACAAAACAGGACACGGATGCAGAATGCTACTACGAGTTACACCAAGAGGGAAGTAGGAACTGGACGGATGGAACAGACCAGCATTGACTCGTCTCCTGGATTAGGTAGAGGAAGGTGAGTGTACGCTGTAGTTGCCCTCTGAACAACACAGTATTGCTGCTTCTAAACTACTTTTAGTAAAGAGGTATGGTACTACTACTGCTCTCATTACTATTGTAAACGGAGACTGACTCTCTCAAAGCTAAAATCTTGGAAAGTACTTCAGAGAAATAGTCTGTTGTATTCTGATGTTTTGGTATTGAGTACATTTAGAATATAAGTCAAACAGAAAAGTTAGAAAATATATTTAAGCCAAGTTAGAAGGCATTGCAGATTTTAAACTGCTGCTTGGAGGGGCTTTATCTGAAGCATGGGTGGGGTAGAAGTGCTGAAAATGTTTTAGAGGGACTTTACGTGAAGTGAAAATAGACATTTTTCAGAAGTTACACAGGTATAAAAAAAAGATTAAAACCTTTACACGGATATTGAAAGGCTTTGTTTAAGCCTTATATGTAATCGGCACGGAGATGCTTTTAATGCGGGAATTATTTGTAACCAGTATATTCTTATGCTGACTTGTATAGTATCTGTACCTTTACTGAGCGCTTGCTAGAAGTTTTTCCTAAAACTTTTTTAATAACCTATCTAGTATAAAGATGGATGAAATAGAAATTTGAATTTCATTTCTCCTGTTTTCACCAACTGCATTCCAATCATTTATAGGCAAGGTTCTAATAACTGCTTTCTTTCCCCTAGGAAAAACTCATATGGCTACCGAAAGAAAAGGGAGGACAAGTTTACAGTGAGTGTTCATATTCATCTATAATAAAAGTAGGTTAACCAGGCAATAGCATGGATATTATGTGGAGTAGCAGGTGAGATAAGTTATTGCACAAGCAATTGTATGTCACAGTTGACTGAAGACAGCAGCTCATTAGTCACATGAGGTTTACTGCGTTTGGGTATCAGAGAAGGTTGTCCGCTAATGCAGAAGTTAGGAGGAAGTTAAAATTACTCTTTTATAGTAGCAAAAAATTTCCATCTTAGTATTATTTCTCAGCATGCCAATGTACACATTTAGGGAGAGCTAAATAGCTAAGCTAAAGCTCAGAACGCTTGATACTTATTATTGTGCATGTAGATGTTGAAGAACATTTCATACATCCATGTGTCATAATGTATAGCTAGAATGTTGGTTAAGTGGTCAGTTCCATTTCTTAAATGCCTCTCCAGGTACCACTTGGTCAGGGTATGCTAGCACTATTGAAATATTACGGTTTTGGTAAACTTAAATTCAAGGCAAATACCTAAATAGCCTTGACACTTGAAAAGGCTGGACTAGACATTGTGTAGAAGAAAGGGTCTTTTTATAGGACTTAAGGTTTGATTTGATAAAACCCGACACTTACTTACAATTCGTTTTTGCCGCACATGGCATGTTCATGAAGTTGAACCAGATTATTTCCTTATTCATGTCACAATTGCAAAGTAACCCCACTGCATGAGCTGTAACTCTTTCTTAAAGGTCTGGAATTATTGCATTTGTGTATTTGTGGCTCCTGCTGTTGAGTAGCCTTATGGGACTAGGGTAAAGGAGCATCGAGTTTTGGAAAGTATAAAATGACAAGTGGTTCCTTCCCTTTAGTTGCTTCTAGTTCTCATCAAGCTTCTCAAAGCTCAGTGAGATCAGATTACATGTAGGACTCTCAGTACTACTTTCTTTTGCCCTTTCAGAGCTGCTTGAATTTTTAGATTGATGTTTTTCTGTCAACATTTTTTCTGTCTTTGAAAGAAGAAGGGAGCGGTACACGTTAGGTGTGTGTGAGTGGCTGGAGTGAAAGGATTACCTTGGACACTTACTGAGCAGAGAGGGTCTTCTGACTCAGCTGACTCCAAAGGTTATTTTGAGTGTAAAACTGGTAGACGTGAGTTCTTTGGAGACCTACCTTTCCCATCTCTCAGCAGCAGGCTTTCATTGCAGCCTGTGCAGCAGTCTCTTGTGGTCTCTTCTGGCCCATGAGTCTTTAGTCTGTGCTGTCCAGTGATGCAGCTTGAACAGAGGCGAGAGTTGCTGCACACCCACAACTGCGTACACTGGGAAGGAGGAGCGTACCCTGAAATTTTACCCCTTTAGACTGGAAATAATTGATTCAGGATCCTATTTCTTGTGTGATGTTCTAGTGGTTAGGTAGTATACATAGGACATCACTACAACCAGTTGTATTGGAATGGAGTGATCACTTCCATTGATTTTTTTTTTTTTTTTTTTAGTTTGTTGTAAAGGAAAAATTACGAAGAGTATGCATGCTTGCATAAGAGAGAGCATGAACCTTTTTGATCAGATTGTATCTGAGGCTGTAGACATAAGCCAATTACTCAACTTGTCATAACAAGTTGAATTGAGAATTTATGCAGTTGGTAGCTTAAGAGTCCATTTAAGTCCTCCCTGGTCTCACTAATTTAAGATGTTAATGCTACTGGTCTCTTAATATATTGGAATTTTTAGGACTCAGCTGTATAACAAAATGTTTGTAGCAAATATAAAAGCTTTATCTATCACAGGATGTAAGTTGTCTTAAACAAAACTAAGTGCTGAGATTTGAAGACCTGTTATAAAAAAAAAGTTATTCCTTTGGCAGTTTGAGCTGGGTAAGTGTAGTCTCTCTTCATGAGCCTTTGACAGGTAATCTGACAGCTATGTTTAGAGATTTGCAGCCTCCCTTGCTGTAACACTCTTAAACTGTGTTCTGGGGGGTAGTGCTGGGTCAGCAGCAGTTCTAGAAGTTGTAGGTTTTCTTGCCTCTCTATTT